GTGTCTGGGCCTCTGCTCAGCTGCCCCAGGGAGCTGCCGTCGGGGCATCTCTGGACACCGGGAGGCCCGCCCTGCCCTCTGGCCCTGCCCGCGGTCGCTCCCGGGCGCCGTGCCGCAGACAGGCTCGAGCGGACCACCGGGTGCTGTGGCCGCGCTTGCTCTGGCGGAGGGTCTGGCCGCCCGCTGTCCGGCGCCCGCCTGGCCCGGCTCGCTCCTCCACCGGCCGCTCTGTTGTCCTGGGGGCGGCCGTGCGGCCCTCCCTTGTCCCGCCACCCCTCCCTGCCGGCCCAGCCCAGCTCTTTCCTCGGTCATCTCCAGGGTGTGGGGTGCAGAGATGCGGGTGCAGAGATGCGGGGTGCGAGGGGCAGCTCTTCCCGCAGCAGGGGGGCCTGTGGCTGCTGGTCCCGATGCGGCCGTCCTCAGCCTGCGCCTCTCTGTCCCGGCGCCCCGCTGGGCGCGGTCAGGGCCCCTCGGGGGCGGTCAGGGCCCCTCGGGGGTGATCAGGGTCCCTCCGGGGTGGTCAGGGTCCCTCGGGGGCGGTCAGGGTCCCTCCGGGGGCGGTCAGGGCCCCTCCGAGCGCGGTCAGGGCCCCTCGGGCGCTGGACCGCGACTGGCTGGTCTCCGCCTGGGGGCTGCTTCCCCGAGGCCTGGTCCCTGCAGTTCTGGGTCCACAGACACGAAGTGCGCCCTGGCCGGGCCCGCGCGAGGGTGTCTGTGTTGTTTTTTTTTTTTGTTTGTTTAATAGAGGCGTGTTTTATTTATTTGTTTGTTTGTTTTTATTTATACAAGCCCTGGGTACAGTCAGGAGCACAGGAGGGGGAGAGGATGAGCCAGAGCAGGGAGCAGAACAGGCAGAAGGACCGAAGTACACTGCTGAGGGGAGCAGCGGGCGGCAGGAGAGGTCTGCGCGCCATGTGGGACCCTCCTCCGGTGGCCGGGGAGCAGCCGGGGATCGAACCGGCGCCGCAAAAGGCCGCGGGCAGCTTCGCAACCCAGAGCTCAACCGCTGCGCCACCGGGGAAGGCCTCCCACTTTCTTACGTCACTAAGTCCTTTAATAACATTTTGCAGCTTTTTTTTTTTTTTTTTTTATAGAGGCATGTTTCATTTATTTATTTATTTATTTAGTTTGTTTGTTTGTTTTTTGTTTATACATGCACTGGGTACAGTCAGAAGCGCAGGAGGGTGAGAGAATTCACCAGAGCCAGAGCGGGGAGCAGAGCAGGCAGAAGGACCGAAGTCCACTGCTGAGGGGAGCAGCGGGCGGCAGGAGAGGTCTGCGCGCCATGCGGGACCCTCCTCCGGTGGCCGGGGAGCAGCCGGGGATCGAACAAGCGCCGCAGAGGCCGCGGGCAGCTTCGCAACCCAGCGCTCAACCGCTGCACCACTGGGGAAGCCCTTAATTTTTTTTTTTAATAGAGGCATGTTTTATTTATTTATTTGTTTATTTATTTATTTATACAAGCCCTGGGCACAGGCCAGAGGCGCGGGAGGGTGAGAGGATTCACCAGAGCCAGAGCGGGGAGCAGAGCAGGCAGAAGGACCGAAGGACACTGCTGAGGGGAGCAGCGGGCGGCAGGGGGGGTCTGCGCGCCCTGCGGGACCCTCCTCCGGGGCCGGGGAGCGGCCGGGGATCGAACCGGCGCCGCGGAGGCCGCGGGCAGCCTGGCAGCCCAGCGCTCCGCCGCTGGCCCCGCGGAGTCCCGGCGTCTGTGTCCAGCGGGCGCTGCGAGGGGCAGCGCGGGCAGCGGCGGGAGTGGCCGGCGCGCGGCGCCCCTTCTGCGCGGGCGTCCCCCGGGGGTCCCGGCGCGCGTGGGCCGTGGGCGGCGGCGCTCGGGCCGGGCCGGGCCGGGGTCCGTGGGGCGTCCCCGCAGGCGGCCTCGGGGTCCGCGGCTGCCCCGCCCCGGCCGCGCCCACTCGCGGGAGATGCTGCCCGGAGCGCCGGAAGCGCCGGGGCGGGCGGCGCGGACCCGACGGCGCGACCGGGGAGGTAGGGCCGGGGCGGCGGGGGGCCGGGGCGGCGGGGGGCGGGGGGCGGGGGGGGCCGGGGCGGCGGGGGGCCGGGGGGGGCGGCGGGGGGCGGCGGGGGGCCGGGGCCGTGGGGTCGCCGCGGGGCGCGGGTCCGGCCGGGCGCGGGCTGCTCCTCCCGGCGCGAGGGTCGGACCCGGACGCGCCCCGCCGCCGCCGAACAAGAGCCGCGCCGGTGCCGCCCGGCCCGGTCCGGTCCGCGCCAGGGCCTCTGCCCCGCGCCCTCCGGTGCCGCCGCGGCCCTCGGGCCACTCCCAGCCGGGCCGGGACGCGAGGAGACGCCGGGGCCGGGCCGGGGCCGGGCCGGGCGGGGAGGGGGGGGGGGGGGGGGGGTGGGGGGTGGGGGGTGGGGGGGGGGGGGGGGTGGGGGGGGGGGGTGGCCGCGGCGCCCCGGGCCTCGCCGTCGGGGTGGGCGCCGCCCCGGGTTCCAGCGCCGCCCGCGGGCAGGAGGGACTCGCGGCTCTCCGGGCGCCCCGTGACCCCCCGGCCCTCCCCCCCGCTGGCCCCCCCTCCCCCGCACCCCGGCTTGGCCGGGGGTGTGTTCTGGAACCTTCTCCCAGAAGGGGGCGGGAGGGGCCGTGCCCAGAGGTGGCCCCGGCCCTGCCCTCGGCCCGGGGTGAGCAGAGGGTGGGGCGGACTCGGGGGAGCTCGGGGTGGTGGGAGCGGAGTGGGGGTCCCTGGGGGCCTCTGGGCCCACGGTCTGGCCGCGCCCGCCCTGCTGGTCCCCCGGCCGGCCAGGGTCGCGCTGACCCCGCGTCTCCTGACCCCAGCCCCGCCCAGGCCTGGCCGCCCGGGGCGTGTGCGCTGAGCACGCGCGTGTGCAGGAGGCGGTCACACCCCAGGCCCCCGCGGCCTGTGCCCGGCTGATGGCCCTGCCCGCCCCGCGCTGAGCCCGCCCTGCAGTCCCGGGGGCCGCGTCCAGGGCGTCCCCCGGCGCCCCCGGGAAGGTGGTGCAAGCCCAGCCCCGAGCCTCTGGGGGCGGCTCCCGGCCCTGCTCAGGCGAGCGGGACCCGCCGGGGGCTCGGCTGGGAATGACCGTCCCGCAGCCTCGGCCTTCGTCTCAGCAGAACGTGCCGAGGAAGCCTGGGGCGGCCCACGCCCCGCAGCACCCCACAGCGCCCCTCTCCGGCCCTGGAGAGCTGCTCCCTGCCCTCCCCGCTGCGGGGGTCCCGCCCACCGGGGGTCCCAGGCCAGCAGGGCCTGCAGCTGGGCCCGGCGCCGCCACAGCACCGGGGTGCCCTGGGGCCGCGCGGGCAGGGCCGGAGGCAGAGGCTGAGTCCGGAGCCCAGAGGGGCCGCGGGAGGGGCCGACCTGGCCCCCCATCTCTCCAGGGCGGCTGTGCCCGCGCGGCCGTGCCGCGGCCTCTGGGTGGGGCTGTGGCCCCCGTCTGCCGGCCGGCAGGTGGGCCTCGGTCAGTCCTGGCCCGGGCAGTAGGGGTCCGAGCCATCCCGACCCCCACTCTCTGCCGGGTGTGGCTGCCACCGGGTTCCTGGGGTGTCGCCCCACAAGCTCGGACTCCTGGCCGCCTGGCTGCAGCCTCGGCCTCTGCGGGGAGGGGTCCTGGGGGCTCCAGACGCCGCCATCTCAGCGTCCCCTTGAGAACAGGCCTGGGGCGGGTGCGGGGCTGGCCGAGGCCCTGGGCGCTCGGGGCCGCCCGGGAGGGCAGCGCGGGCTGGTGATCAGAGGGCCCCCCGCGGAGCGCGGCTCCTCAGCCTCACAGCCGGGCGGGGCGTTTGGCCCAGCCCCGGAGGGGGGCTACCCGGGTGCCCCATAGCAGGACGGGAGGCTCAGGGCCGACTGGGGGGCTGGGAGCCCTGGGGCCGGGGCCGGCAGGCAGCCCCCCCCCCCCCCTCTCGAGCCGCTGCTCTTTCTGGCCCCGCAGCCTGGGGCGTGGCCTCAGGGTGGGCCTCCCGCAGCCCTCCTCCCTGGCCTCTGGATGAAGGTGCCCACTCTCACCCCCCCGCGCTCCCGGCCAGGGCGCCTGCCCCTCACCTGCGCCAGGGAGGGCGGGACCGGAGGCCGCCGGGGAGCTGGTCTGGCCAGCGTGAGGGTTACGAGGCCGTCTGGGGCCCTTGGGGGAGGTGGCACAGGCTTGGGTCCAGGCCGGGCTCCTGGCTGAGGCGGGCAGCGCCCTTGCCCGGCGCCGAGCTGGCTCCCGCTCTGGCCTCCACCCTGCTCTGGGCTGATCTCAAGCCGGTCGGACCCTGGGGGAGTGGCCGCTCGGCTGGCCTCACCCCTCCCCGCGGGGCCAGACCAGGTCCCGTACCCCAGAGGGCCTGAAGGGCCCGCCCAGGGTAAGCGGGGGCAGGGGTGCAGATGGGCTCAGTCCAGCCTGGCGCAGGGGCGACGGTGGGCGCGTCTGTGGAGCGGAGCCGCGTCTCCTGGGCTGATGGAGGGGAGGCCGGTGGCCTGGGGGGTGCCTTGGGCGCCCTCAGCTGGACAGGAGACAGCTGGCCGCCTCCACCGAGGGCCCGAGAGCCCACCCTCCTGCAAAGACAGGGCCCGCAGCCCCCCCAAATCAAGACGTCCGGGTGGAATCAGAAGTTTAATGTGGCACGACCGAGGAGCCTAGCGCCCCGCCGGGGCTTCTACTGGACACAGCACGCTGGAGCTCGAGCGGGTCTACGCTGCCTACGGGGCGCGCGGGGTCTCGTCCGTGTTGAGGCCCCAGGCCGGTGGCGCTGGGGGGTGCAGACACGAAAGCGGGCGTTGCACACGGGCCCACCAGGCTCTCTCTGCCTGGGGCGGGGCTGGGTTCAGAGGCAGCTCTGCCCAGCCGGGCCCGCTCTTGTCTGGGCACACCCCGGTCACCGCTGGCCGCCCGGTCAGTGGGCAGAGCCGTGGGGGAGCCCGCCCGGCACCCCTGCCCTCGCCGAGGCTCGAGCTGCGGCAGGACGTGGCGGCCCGAGTGCCTCTGCCCGGGAGCCAGAGTGCCAGCCGGACAGCCCCGGCCTGGACGGGGTGGGGGTTCTGCCCTGTGCCCGCCGCCCCCTCAGCAGTCCCCGGGTGGCTGGTCCTGGGGGGCCCTGCTGGCCTGGGGAGCGGGAGCATGGGGGGCAGGGGTGCAGGACGGGGCCGGTTTGGCCGTGTCCTTGCTTTGTAGCCGAGGCCGCCGTGTGCTGGCGGGGCCCCTACTCTGGGCAGCACGATCTCCCGGGGTGATCGTCTCAGGGACCCTGTGGGTGGGGGCCGCTGTTGGGCACCTGCGGCCTTGGGGTGCCCACCCCTCGCTGGGGTACCCCCTGCACGGCTGACCTGTCCCCCCACCCCCAGGTCAGAGTCCAGCCTCCTCCAGAGACCAGGGGTGCAGGGGCGAGCGTGAAGACAGGAGGGTGGCGTGTGGGGCACTGCTGCTTGGTTGAACACTCACGCGCACACACATGCACACACGCGCACACACGCTCATGCACGCACACGCACTCTCACATGCACACACTCGCACATGTACACACATGCACAAGCACGCTCACATGCACACTCACGCACACGCACGCTCACGCACGCACACGCACGGGCTGCTGGACGGTGCTGATGGTGGCGTCCGGGGCTGCTGCTGGAGGCCGGCGCGGGCCGGTCACTGGGGCAGGGCCTTGAGGATGGCGTTCACCTCCTCCGCCACGGCCGTCAGCGCAAACTCGAACTGCTCCTGGGGAGAGAGCGGCGGTGAGAGGCCGGCAGAGCTCCAGCCCCGCGGCGTTGGGGCCCGCGGCCGCCTCCCCACCACAGGGGGCCCAGCCAGCGCCGCCTGGACACCCCTTCCAGAGCCCTCGGAGGGGCCGTGCCGCCCTCACCCGGGGCGGGCTGGGCACACAGGAGGGGGCAGGGGTGCAGGGCGGGCACTATCCGCAGCAGGGGAGGGCACGGGGCGGCCACACACGCCAGCGTTGCTGACCCCACGGGAGGCCGGAGGTGCGGGCGTGAGCGCTCAGGGCCACGCTCCCTGGCCGGTCTGGCCGCCCGCAGAGGTGCTGGCCCCCAAGCGGCCGGTTAGGCGGCGACGCTCCCCACGCGCGCCAAGGCCTCTGGGGGAGGCAGCTGGCACTCTCCTGCCAACACGCTCCCGGAGGCCGCACTGGCCTGGGGTCCCCGAGTGGTGCCCCAGCTCCGCCCCGAAGCACGAGGCCGCTGGGGTCCGAAGGGCCATGCACCACGACGGCGCCCGCGCCAGGGCCCGTGGGGGGCTGTCCGCAGCGAGGTGGGTCTGCTGTTGGGCACAGATGCTTCCAGAAGCCGCGGGAACAGACCATCCTGAGCCTCACCCGCCTGGGCCCACCCAGCTTTTCAGTAGAATGCGAATGAGCCTTGGGGTGAGGCCCCCCGCCCTCCCGGGTGGGGCTGGGCGGACGGTGGTGGTCCAGAGTGTCCCCCGCAGGGCTGCGTTTACCAGCGCGTCCCTCCCCCACCGCGCGTGAGTTCACGTCCCGGTGACCTGCGGCGGGGCTGCATGGACGCCGGCGCCGCTGCTGGGCCGGCCAGGACGGTCCTGCTGTGCCCCCCGGGGCCCCACCCCCCGGACCTGTGCCCTCGTCCCCGGGCCGTCTGGGGCGAAGGAGCTCAGACGTGCCTCCTCCCCTGGGGAGCCCCGAGGCAGATGCGCCTGCCCAGCCCCGGCCCCGGCCTCGGCAGTACCTTCGTCTGGACCATGCCCGGCCTCTGGTCCCGCAGGTGCTCCAGGGTGGCCGCGATGTCGATCTCCTTCGCGCCTGCAACGACACGGCGGCCTCAGGCAGGCTCAGGCAGGCTGCCCCCCCGCGCTGGGCGCCCCGGGCTCGCGGCCCTGCGGGGTGAGCGCCAGAAGCCGCCGGCTGCGGCCCGCCCTGTGCTGCGCTTGTGCCGCGGCTCCCGAGGGCTCCGTCCTCACGGCCCCCGCGCTGTCTCCCCGCCGCGCAGGCTGCGAGAGCCACGGAGCCGGCGGCGCACGCGGAGGCTTTAAAGTAGACTTTGCCGCCTCCTGCGATGGACGGCGCCGGTTTCCAGAAAGGGCCGGGCCCGGCTGTGCCGGCTGCCGAGGGCCCCAGGGCCGGCGGGGGCTGCCCCCTCCCGGCTGAGCACAAGCCCCCTCGGGCCGCCAAGGGTCTGGCGTCTGGGGCGAAGACGGGCCGGCAGGACAGGCAGCAGAGCCGACCCGACCGGCCCGGGGTGGCGGGAGCTCCTGGCCAGAGGGGGAGCTGCCTGCACTCCCCAGGCCCCCCAGCCTGCAGGGGGCAGACAGCGGGCCCAGCATCCCCGCTGGGTCTCCCCGGGGTGGGGAGGGGGAGGGGGGCAGCTGGCAGCAGACTCGGGGCTCCAGGGTAGCCCGAGGTGGCGGCCACGCCCTTGTCCTCCCAGCGTGGCCTCACACGCCTCTGCACCCGCTGCCGTGTCCTGCGGGCAGCGGAGGGGGGCACTCATCTCTGGGTCTTGGCGCCCGGTTTCTGCCGGCTGCGCCCACCTCGCGGTCTGGCCTGGCCCCGGGGCTCTCGGGAGCCGGGACCCTCCGCCAGAGGCCGCAGGGCTGAGGATGTGGGTTCCCCAGGAGGGGCCCCTCGGGACTGAGCAGCAGGCTGGGGTGCCACGTGCTTCCCAAGAAACACCCGGTCAGCGCGACAGGGGACCCTGCGTCTCTCCCTCAGGGAGCATGGTGCCTAGGAGGGGGCGGTGGGCCCCTGGGGGCTGCCCCCACCCCCAGGCGTCCCGGTGCCCCCTGGCAGTGCCGCTGGGCCATCGGTGAGGGGCCCACACTTGTTGCCAGCACAGCAGGACAGCCGCCCCCCCACCCCGCAGCGCTGAGTCAGGCTGTGCAGGGGGTGCAGCCCCGCTGAGGACCTCGGGGCGTCCCAGCCCTGCGACCCCTGCTCCCCCAGGCAGAGGCACGTGCCTAGCTTCAGGGTCCTCTTTCAGCCAGACGCCAGACCAGTCATGCTCCCCTGGCCCCCCAGTCTCCCTCCATGTGCCCCCATCTTGCCCCAGGACCCCTGGTTTCCCTCCACACAGGCCTGTCTCCCCTCCACGTGCCCCCACTCCCCGAGGCTCTCCCTCCACACATCCCAGCGCCCCACCTGCTTGTCCCAAACAGTCCCCCTGTGGGGCCGCCCCACGCGTGTCCAGGCGGCTCCGCCCCTGCAGGCCCCGGGGCGGTGTGGCCACTTGGCAGGAAGCTGGGGGCGTCGGGCCCGACCTGCGCCCGCGCCGGGTTAGTCTGGTATTTGCCAAACACGGGGAAAGGTTGGGGTGGGGGGACCCAAAGGGTGGGGCCGGCAGGTGCCAGGGCTGAGTGCCGGGCTGGCCAGAGCCGAGTGCCTGGGTGGGTGAGAGGGGAGGGGCCCCGGGTGACCTCACACTGACCACCCCGGGGTGAGAACAGAGCATGTGGCCAGCCACAGGGTGGGGATGGCAGTGGCTGGCCCGGAGGGGCAGGGAAGGGGGAGGTGCAGGTGGGGACCCCTGGAGGCTCTGTTCGCTCTGGCCTTGGGCAGGGTGGGAGCAGTGCAGGGGGGCCCCTGGGGGCGTCCAGCCTCCCCCGTCTCTCTGCCCACTTGTCCTCCAGCTGCTGTCCACACCTGGGAGGCGGAGCCGGGCCGGCCTGGCCCTCGCACTCGGGACAGGACAAGGGGCTCCATCAGAACCGAGGCTTGCGAGGGCAGACATGGGGGCGCCTCGGGACGCCCCAGAAGAAATGCGGTGAAAATGCCCCCACGGCCCACAGACGCCGGCAGCCCCGACCCCACCCCCCAGCCAGCCTGAAGCCGCCTGCCCTGAACTGCCCCTGCCCTTGGGCCTCCAGAGCAGACGTGACCACACTGGTGATGGCAGATGCTGGGCAGCAGGCGCGGCCCTGCGGAGGCTGTGCCTGGGGTAGGCCCAGAAGCAATGTCCGAGGCACCTGCACGGCCCTGCGGCCCAGGGGGTGGGGGCCTGGGCGGGCGGGGAAGCGGGCAGGCCTGCCTCGGCGGTCACCGGGGGCCCGGCAGGACCGCAGGTGTAAGGCGGGCCTGAGGTCGGCTGCCCGGGGCGTCCCACTGGGGGTGTGTGGCGTCACCGTGTGACCCCTGCACGACAGGATCGTGTGATGACATTTGTCACGTCCCGTCCTCGGGCAACACCCACGCATGGTGGCGTCCTCAGCTTGAGGACAGATGGACGCGCTGATGCTGCCACCAGGGCAGGATGCTGGACAGCAGGTGCAGCACAGGTGCTGTACCACCTCTCCAGGCCTGGGGGGAGCCTGCACCTGGGATGGGGGGCTGCACCAAGGGAGGGGGCCCGGCGGTGGGGGGCCTGCAGCAGGGGTGGGGGGCTGGCAGGGGTGTGGGGGCTGGCAGTGGGAGGGCTGGGTACGCCCACTCTCTGGCCCTGGGGGCAAGCCCAGGGCTGTCGCGCAGCCCCGCAGCTGGGTCCAGGACTGGGGCTATGCTGTGCTCCAGCCAGAGGCAGGGAAGGACCTGCTGGCATCATGTGCCGGGGTCCAGCGCTGCCCGTCGTCACTGCTTTGTGCTGCAGAGACGGGCAGGGCGGGCGCCCCCAGGGGCACAGGTGTGAGTGTGTGTGACACGGACGCACTCATGGAGAGAGCAGGACGGGCCTCCCGGCTGGCACCTCCCCCACCCACAGATGCCAACGGGTGTCAGGCCCCGTCCATCCCGGCCCAGCCCTCCCTGCTCCCGCAGGCCCTCCCCGTGGGGGTCCACAGCATCCTCCCCGTGGCTGTGGGGGTGCTGAGCTTTGGAGCAGCCCCTGGGGGCTCCACGGGCAGGTTGCAAGAAGACCCACGCCCGCACGGAAACGGGGCCCAGGCGGAGCAGCTGGTCTGGGGGCCGAGGGGGACATTTAGGATGAGGGGTCACCAGGCCGAAGAGTGGGGGGTGGAGAACTCAGCCGCGACACCAGCGCAGGGGGAGACGCCGGCAGGCGGGGGAGCTGCGGGGAGCCCTGGAGGCAGCCCAGGCGCGGTCGGAGGGGATGGGCCGAGGGGCGCCGGGGACCCGGCTCTCACGAGCCAGCTGCCCACACCCAGGAGAGGCTGATGCAACCGCAGGGCAGTGACCCTAGAGGAAGGTGCCCGCACCCCCCCACCCCGAGGGCCGCCCCCGGCAGCTCCCCCAAAGCTTCCCGAGTCCATGCAGGCGCCTCTGCTCTCCCCGCCGCCTTCCCGGCAAACTTGCCCTTCATGAAGGGCCCTGCCCGAGGTCTCAGCGGGCACCCGGGGGCCCGCTCCCTGGCCCCCGCGCCCCCTCAGAAGGGGGTGTTCTGCGGCTAGCTGCCAGGGGCCAGCCCCGGGCACGTGGGAGGCGGGGTTGGGGCGGGCCACGCTGGCCGGTCTTAGCTGGCGGCGGGTGGTCCGGGGAGTCCCCCAGGGGACCTGACGTGTCCCTCATGCCAGGCGCCCACAGCACCCGGGCAGGCCCTGGAGCCAGCCTGGCCCTGTGCAGTGTCCAGAGCCGGGGCCGCCAACAAAGGCCGGCGCGGGAGCAGCCAGGCCAGGGTGCCCCACTGGCCCCCCGTCCCCGCGTTGCCGCCGTCCGCAGGCCGCCGCTCACCTTTGGCCATCTTGTTGAGGACCATGTCGATCAGGACGTAGGTGCCGCTCCGGCCCGCGCCGTCGCTGCCAACGGAAGGACAGGGGTGAGCAGGCGGCCCCGCGCCCGCCCAGGACCATGCCGGGAGGGGCCGCGCCCGAGGGGGAGGGGGAGGGGGGAGGGGCGGCCGCCGCGTGGGGCTCAGCCTCGGCCTGCGGGCTCCTTCTCCTGCTTTCCCTTTGGCCGAGGAGGAGGAGTTGTCCGGCGCGGACACAGGCGGAGCTGCGGGGTTCCTGGTCCCCAGCCTCGCCCCTCACGGCCGTCGCCGCCCCCAACCACGGGGATCCTAGCACGGGCCCGGGTCATCAGTGCCCAGAGTTGTGGCTGGACAACAGCAAAGAGAAGGATCCCGTCTCCAGGAGGCAGGTGGCGGCACCGCCCATGCAGACGTGCGGGAGGTGCCCAGGGGCCGGGAGGGCCCCAGATGCCAGCCCCCGGCCTAGGGCGAGCGTGACCGCCGCCCCTCTCCTCTCTCCGCTCAGTGGCCGCTGGCCCGGGAGCCGGCGCCGGCCACCGCGGCCCCTCAGGTGAGCGGGGAGCTGCCGGGGACACGTGTCCAGGGCACTCGCCCGCTGTCCATCCTCGGGCCACCCATGTGTCCAGGCGCAGCGCTGCCCACAGTCCTGACGCACAGCCAAAGCCTCATCAGGGACATCTGGGCAGAGTTTCTGGCACAGGGACAGTCCCGGAGTGGACACGACTGCCAGCCTCCCCCTTGCAGGCACACGCAGACACGCTGACACGCACACACACGGATGCGGATAGACAAGTACACGCGCACAGACGCACACACACACAAGTGCTCACGGACACATATACAGACATTGGCTACACACACACACGAAACACAGACACACGGATAGCAGATACATACGCAGACACACAGCACACGTGGATTGCGCACACTCACTCACACACAAACCCGGTGTCTGAGCTTTGCTGACATTTCCTTACACCGCAAACAGAACGGAAAGTTCTGGAGACCGTTCTAGAGGAAACGGTCTTGGCAGGAGCTCCTCGGAGCTGCCCAGCCTGGGTGGCAGCCACGGCGGGAGTGCACACCCAGGCCTCGCGCCTCCTGAACCCAGCTCCGTCCTGACAGGCCCAGCCCCAGAGGTGCCGCGGCGGTGCGCATGGCCAGACGCGGCCTCCGGGCATCTGTGCGGCGAGCGGGCTGGGACTTCCAGGGGAGGCGGTGCGTGGAGCCCAGAGTCCCCGCCTCCAGCAGGCGCTCGCAGAGCGACCTGCAGGCCACACACAACCAGGTGTGGGGCCCGGCCCCCCAGAAGCAACCGGCGCCAGAAACAGCGCGGCGGCGGCGGCCCGGGCGCGGGGTACTTGCCTGCAGTGCACAATTATTGGACAAGAGCGGCCCCGGTAGCACTTGTTTACTTTTCTGAAATAGAAAGAGACACGGGAATTACGGTCACAGCACGACCAGCGTCGCCAGACACCACCCGAGCAAGTGGCCTCGACTCCAGGCCTCGCCACGGCCTGTCCTGACGGGACGACCACGGCCACGCGTTTCAGAGACCGGCCACGCGTTTCAGAGACCGACCTCCCTCCGGCGCTAAGCTGTCGCGCCGGCTCCAGAGACGCTCTCCCATCGCGCCCTCTCGCGGGGGTACTCGGGCCCGGGGCGCCTGCCACCACCCCTTCCTGCCCGCGCTCTCGCAACTGGACCTGTGGGGCTCAACTGGACCTGCAAGAGCCCAAGTCTTGCCCGAAACATCTTGGTTTGCAGCGTCCCGCGGCCTGGGCGTCCCACGGGCCTGTGACTACCGTCGTCTCAAACAACCTCTTAAAGGTCCTCTTTGAATTGTCGCCTTGCAAAGACTCTCAACCCGCCAGTGCCCGACAGGCCTCTCCTTTGTTACGAAGCTGCGGGCTTTAAGGCGACTCCTCCCGCAGGCCTGAGATCGGCCTTGGTAAAAGCTGACCCGCAGCCTGGGGACGGCTCTAAGCTCCCAAAGCAGGAGCTGGACTTAAAATTCAACGTATAGGCTCTGAGTTTTTAAAAATTCAGTGAAACAACGAAACATGTTTACAAAGCACATCCGAGTTCTCAGTAAAATCTTTCTGGAAAGAGAAAAGGGCAGAATCTTGGTTTGTTGAGGAAAAGCATGTGTGTGAGGGGCTGTGGTCTGGAATGTTCGTCTGAATTTCTACAAACCGAGAGAGGAGGCCAAGCAGACGACAACCCCCTTCCCGTGCAGAAGCGGCCCAGGCCGCAGCGCTGGAGGGCGGGCCACGGCCGCTCGCTCTTCTCTCTGCCTCCCCTCTGGCGGGTGATGGGAGCCTCCCAGGGCCTCGCTCTGGAGCAGCCCCGGCAGGGAGGGCCCTGGGGCGCCACCAGGGAAAGCGTGCAGCCCAGAGCCGGCGGCCACCATCGCCTCCACGGGAGCCTGAGGGCCGGGCGACGGCAGCTGCCCAGCAGACGGTCCCGTGGTGACGCGCCCAGGGTGCGGAGGAGGAGGGAGGGGCGGGAGGCGCCACAAGAGGGACCCTAGGAAGCCGGGTGCCCCGAGCGCGAGACTGGTAGGAGTCAGGCCCGCCCCCTTCCACTGCACACGCCCCTCCTGCAAGGCAGCCACGGCCGAGGGGGGGCAGGAGCAGGCCCCGGGGCCCCAGGGCAGCTCAGCGCGGGTGGGGGGGCGAGTGCACGGTGGCCCAGGCAGTGTGTGTGTTCATGCTCACACTCACACGAGGCGTGCACGTGCCCCCCGCGCCTGTGTGGGGCCACGTGCCTCGGGGGCGCCGTCTTCACAGGCCCTTCGCCCGGAAGGAGTAGGACCTTAAAGGGGGCGCCCCCGGCTGCTGCCCGCGCGCCCGTCCAGCCTGTGCCGAGACCAGACACAGTTCCTGCGTGTTCCCACGCGGCCGGGCCTCGGGTGTCGCTCATTTGCTCGAGGGGACCAAGCGCTTTAAGAAAGGTGCGCCAGAAACCACCCCCTGCGCCACGTGGTCTCAGAGACAGGGAGAGAGTTGGGGGGCCCGGCCTGGGCACTGCTCAGCCGTCTCTTTGGCAAAAGGTGCCACGAGGTGTGGCCGGGTGTGGGGCTGCCCTGCTTGGGGCCCGGGGCTGAGACCCAGGCCTCTCCGGTGGGCGGCCGGCCGCCTCGCGGGCCTCGACATCCACGCCAGCCCGGCCCCCAAACCAACTCCCCGCAGCCCATGGGGGTGGCTGCATGAGTGCCCTTGGCTGGGCTGGCCCGGCTGTCACGCGCCACCCCCAGCGTCAGGGCCACCCCGTCGGCCCGGGCGGCGCGCAGGTGGCTGAGGAGGCCCAGCCTGACACAGCTGTTGCGCTTTACGCCACTAGCACAAACCATCCGTCAGCAACAGGGCAGACATTCAGGAGAACGGAAGTCAGACACGCTCCAGCAGCCTCAACGGGGACCTTAGGAATACAAACCAAGCCAGGCGTGGCCGCAGCGAAGGCCAGAGGCCGCCAGAGCTGGAGGGCGCCCTGCCCGTGCAGCACGACACAGTTTCCAATGATCACTTTTGTGACTATGCAACTGGGCTCATATTACTAGCTGCAACGTCACAAAAATGACACTGGCCACCGCTGATCAGCCGGCAAAGTAAGGGCTCGTCCTTTGACAGCAGGTGGGGCGGCGCGGAGGGGCGGGGGGGAGCGCCGCGGAGCCCCCACGACGCTGGTTATCGTGCAGCTTAGCGGCGTCTCTTTAGTGTCCACGTGCCCCTCTGGGCGCAGAAACACCCCACTGCACTCCCGGGCCTGCGCGCAGGGCGGGCCGAAGCTGCTCCTCCGACCGTTAAAGGGGACGAGCGACCTTGTGGCATGACTGAGCCGCGTCTCGGGGGCCCTTCCCGGCGGCTGCCGACAGAGAGGCCCACACGCTGCCCCGCGCCCACATCCACGGCCCCAAGCCCAGCTGGCTCCCGGCCTCGAGGGCTGGGGCAGCAGTTCCAGGGGGTTGGGGGGGTTCCAGCGGCTTCAGGGCAGCCCAGGGCGCGGGTGCTGAGGAGACTGGAGCCGAGCGTGGGGCCGTGCGCCTCTCAACCGAGCCTTCTGGGCTGTCTCCCAAGAGAGGGTGAGAGCCTGGCCCGCCGGGAGCTGTGAGCACGAGGGCCGGTTCTGGTCATGTCTGCGTGTGGTGCGGGCGTGAGGCCGCACACAGGCAGGGCACTGGGCGAGCATGGGGTGAGGCGCGCGCCTTTTCTGCGGCTTCGTCCCTTCTGCTGCAGCGGCTGCTCGTGGCGCACGCGCGCGGGCGGGCCTTGAGACAGCGCGTCTCCCACACGAATCAGTGTCAGAGACGCATCAGCGGCCGGGAAGCTGGGCCGACTGGGGGGCCGAGTGCGGCTGTCCTGGTCCCGATGGTCAGCCCCTCCGTGCAAGGAGGCGGTGGGCCCCCAGGGGTCTCCCCTAAGCCCCTGCATGTGCCGCTCGGCCCAAGACGGTACAGGGCGCACACCCTGTGGTCTCCAGTGACAGGAGTGGCGTCTGCCCGGCCGGCCCTCGGCGCCACACGCGTCCAGAGGTGTGGCGGGGAGACGGTGCTGGCCCAGCCGGCTCTGGGGGAGCTGTTCACACGCACCTCGAGGCCGTGTACAGCCGGGCGCGCCCTGTCCTCGGCTATCCGTCATCCTTGCCCGCGTCTGCGGTCAGCTAAGCAGTCAGCTGGGCGTAAGCGGTTCGGTGAGACTCAGGCCTGGCTGCTGATGCCGCTGGCTCGGGCCATCCACACGGCCGAGCTGACCTGTCCCCAGAGCTCCTGCTTTGGCCTTGCAGTTTTGTCTGTGTCCTCAGTGCCTCCTGCACGGGGCCTCGCGGCCGTGTCAGCAGTTGCGCAAACACACGTCAAGACCGAAGCCGCCGCGGGCTCGCTGGCAAGCGCCCACGCAAAAGCGGGAACTGCCAGTTCCAAGCTGGGCTAAAAAACACACAGGCGCGTGCGGCCACCCTGCCGGCTCGTCGCCACGTCCAGCCAGAGGCGGGTCCCCACGCGCCGGAGTGCGGACCTCCAGTCCCGCGGCGAATCTTATCAAAGGCGCGACCGCATTTCCCGAATCCTGAGGGGCCTGCCCCTCACATCTCCACGCCTCCGCAGCCAGGACGCACCTTTCAGTTAGTATGTACAATCCACGTCACCTCCTGACCCCGCGAGAGGGCAGCGGCCCTCGCATGGCCCCTGGGAAGGGAAAGGCGCCCGCCCCCGCCCCGCCGCCACGGCCGCCCGACCCACCTGCGGAAGTCCAGCAGCGACCTGGCGGAGGCGGGCACACCCTGGTCATACCAGCTCAGGAAGTGGAACTGCGTCACCGTGCGGGTCTCGCTGGTCTGCAGGTTCTTCAGGTAGAAGCTCCTCACCAGGAAGTCCTCGCACCAGATGTGCTCAGACACCAGGTTGACCTGCAGGGCGGGGATACCGGCGTGGGCTCGGGCCTCGGGCCAGACGGGCCAGGACGTGTCCGGCGCCGTGGCCCGCCATCCCCCTGCGCTGGCTCAGCTCTCGGAAAGCCGCCTCGGTGGGTTTTTAATCCGCCGGGGGCAGAGTAGCCAAATAGCCAGAAAATTCTTATAACCCAAATAACCGGGTTTTGCCTCGCACTTCTAGGCTATAGAAACGTCCAAGGACGGTCTTAGGGAAGTGTTCTGTGGGGCGTGAGAACCGCGGGGTCCCACGAACGGCCCGCTCAGCAGGGACCCCGTGGTGCCGCCTGGTTGCGGGGGGCTGTGCCCCAAGGCCCATGGCCATACGGCTTCCTGCCCTCTCCAGGGCCCAAGAGCCAGGGCTGGGCCTGGGCGCTCGGCGGGGGTCGACAGCCCAGCAGAGAAGCCGGCCCAGCAGTCGCCCTCAGGTGCCTTCAGAACCGGGCCCAGGAAAGGCCTGTGGTTCCTGTCGGGCAAGCCTTTCTGCCTGCACTTGGGCTCCCAAAGCCCCGAGGGCTCATGCTGCCTGGGGGTGCTGAGGCCCTGACTGCCGGGCGCCCCTCCCCGCGTACCTCGTAGACGTGGTAGAGGGTGGCGCCTTCGTCGGGCCAGTAGGGGTGGCACTGCCGGACGCCGTTCTCCGCCAGCGGGGTGAGCATGACGATGACGGCGCAGCCGCTCTCCCACACCATCTGCAACGGACGCGGCGTGAGCGCTCAGAGGCCCGGCCCGCTGCGCCCTCCCGGGAGCGGCCCTGCCCTGGCTTGCGCGGGAAGTGCTGGCGTACCCGGGCGTCAGGGCCCGCCGGGAGAGCCCCCAGGTCGGCGGGTTCAGCCACTGGACGCCCGACTTTCAGTCTGAAGAGGAAACTTCCACACAGCGGCCAAGACGGAGGGAGGAGCCGCGGCCCGACGCGAGCAGCGCACGGGTGGGGGGGGGGCCGCAGCCCGCGGGCGTGGGGTCTCGGCGCCCCCAGCAAAGCGCAGCCCCCCCGGCCTCGCAGCGAGGACCCCAGCAGAGCGAGGACCCCGCGGACACGGGTCCCGAACCAGCCTCGTCGTGGCTCAGCGCGCGAGGCAGCACCCGGGGGCAGGCGCGGGCGCTCTGACACGGCCGCCGCCGAGGCCTCCTCCCTGCGCGCAGCTGCGGCCGATGCGGCCCACGCCCGTTTCCACACGCGCAGCCGCGTCAGGCCTGATGTAAAAGGAGCCGCGTCTCCTGGACGGGCCGCCTCCTCTCACGCGCTCCGGGGCTCACGTCCCCTTTAAGGTGCAGATAAAACCCTGACGCGCCCGGCCTTCCCCCCCCCCCCCCCCCCCCCGCGCGGCGACTTAGGCACCCACGGGGCGGGATTCAGCCAGGGGCTCCCCACTGCGGCGCTCTGGGGCGTCCGGGGCCTGCTCACGTGCTTGTGAAAAGCCGCAGGTGAGTGTGAGTCGTGACGCACGCGCTTCCGCAGACGGCCTCACGAGCAGAGGCCCAGCCGCCCGCCCTCGTGGCCCTGGGGCCGGGCGGCCGGAAACCAGCAGACGCAGGTTTTTCGCGTGTGCTCAACACCCAATGGCCTGGCCCAGAAGGGGCCCGCAGGTGCCCCGGGGGCGGGAGCAGGCCCCCCAGCCGAGGGTGCCCTCTGCCCTGCCCGCTGCCCTCTGAAGAGGAGCGGGGCTTGAACCCAAGAAGCAGAGCCCAGTTCCGGGGACCGTTTCCTTTTGGGTTCTGTTGCGTGAAAGCAGAGGGTTTGCGAAAGCAGGCGAACAGGCCGCCCTGCTCCCCGGCACCAAGGAGGCACCCCACCCCACCCCACCCCACCTCCACGCGCCTGGCCCTGTGCCCACCCTGGGCGCCTGCCTGCTCGCCCCGCCCCAACCCTCTTCCACGCGGCCTGGCCCTGTGCCCTAGCCGGGGCCGCCTTCCATGGAGCGCGGCCCAGCCCGGCCTCAGAACATGGGAGGGCGGGGGTCCAGCTGGGAACACAAGATGCCAGCGGCCCGGGCCAGGGAGGGTCCCGCGTGCCGCCTGCCTGGTGGTCCTCCTGGTCGGGCCCCAGCACAGGGAGCTGCTGTTCGAGGACAGAGCCCCGGGGGGTCAGAGTCCTCTGGGAGATCGAGGCGAGTCCTGCTAGTCTCCCTGGGCCGCTGCCAGGCCGGGCCGAGCCAACAGCCATGCCACCTCCAGAGCTGCGCCCAGCGACCCCGTCCGGCTGAGCATCCGAGGGCACAACGTCCGAGGACAGTGACCTTGCCCCGGCCCCTGCCATGCGGGTGACCCTAGGGCTGCCCGGGGGAAGTGGCCAAAGGGTCTGCCACAGGCAGCGGCTGGGCCGGGCCGAGCGAAGCCCTTTTCAGGGCGAGCTTCTCCCCAGACGGGCCCGCGTCACGGGTGTGAGCAGGCAGCCGGTGGCGGGGCGTCCCGAGCTGCCGAGTTTCCGGTTGCAAGGATGGGGGACCCCTAGGCCCACGCTGCACTGGGTGGCGACACAGGGGTGACCACGGGAGAGAGGCCTTGTAGAAGGGGAGGGGGCAGCGCTCCCAGCGTGCAGCTGGCGTCTGCCTCAGGAAGGGCAGGAGCCGCCCTTCGATCCCTGACCTGCCCTCCTGCCGCCTCCCTCCCTGCAGGGCCGGCTCGGCGGTGCAGTCCGATCTCCTGGCGCCGGGGCCCTGCAGAGACACTTGGGTGCCCGCGCAGCTGTGTGTGTGTGGGGGTCCTGCCACCGTCTGCGCCCAGGACTCGGCACCAGTGGCCCCGGGCAGGGCACTCGCGCCGCTTCCTGCGGAGCCAGAGGGGGTTCCCTTCTCTCTCCTGCATCTGCGCGTGGTGAAGGCGCTCTCCTTCCGCGGCACCTTCCTCAGGTTTAAGGCCTGGGGGGCTTGTCACCTGGGGACCCTCAGATCTGGGGTAGATACCTGGCTCCAGCTGTCGGGGACAGGTGCCCTTGGGCTCCAGGTCTGGCCTCCCCCCGGAAAGGGGGTTCTGAACTGCCCCCCCACCCCATGGGTGAGCACACAGCGCCCGGACAGCACCCCTCACCAGGGGCACCTTCTCCTCTTCCTGACTGACTCTGCCAGGCAGGGGGCCACGCGGCCGCTTCCTCCCAGGGTTTGTGGGGTGTGGGGGTACACACCCCAACAGGGAGAGAGGTCTTTCTTCCCCCACCTCCGCTCAGCCAGCTGGCCTAGCGCCCCCCCCCCCACGCTGAATGTATCTGTCCCTCAAATGGAGCCACTAGGACCAGAGCATCTTCCGGGGGGCCATGTGCCCAGCTGTCCGACGCTGCCGACCTGCCCCCGGCCTCCTTCCTTCCCGGGACGGACCTCAGACGCCGAGGACACGGCCCAGGCTGCACGGCAGGGTGCGCCGGCGTCAGGCCTCCGGAGCCAGCTCAGGGGCCGGCACCGGGGCAACCAGCACGACCCACATGGCTGCTGAGCCGAGGGCAGCCGGCGAACCCCACTGCGTGAGCGCCGGTGGCGTGGGGGAGGTTCGTGCCCAGCGCAGGCGCGAGGCTGACCGCGGGTGCCTGGGCCTCTGTGCATGCCCCCCTCCCTCCCTGTGCCTGCCCTTCTTTCTGTGGGTTGAGACATGTTGCCTGGCTTGTCCCCGGAGCCCGAGGGCTGCTGTCTGTCTGAAATGTGCACCCCGTTTTCAGTGGTGATCCTGGAACCGAGCTGGTGTCTGGACGCAGCGGTGGCGGCTCAGCAGAGCAGGCTAACCGCGCTGGGACCCGAAGGCGACTCCAGGACCACGGAGGTTGGGGGACCCTGCCTGCCCCCCACAGGCTTTTCTTTAAAATGCAGGTCCGGGCCACCCTGGGGGTGCAGGGGCTAAGGCCCAGCACTGTGAAGCTGTCCGCAGCCTCTGCAGTGCGAGTTCGACCCCGGCCAGGGAGCTGCCCACGGGGCACAGCAGACTCTCCTGTCTCCCCGCTGCTCCCTCAGCAGCTTGTCTCAGTGGATCCACCTGTTCTGCTCCCCACTGTCTCTGGGGAGTCCTCTCATCGCCACCCCCACACCTCTGGCCTGTACCCCAGTTCTTGAATGCAATAAATAAATCATTAAAAAAAAAAAATCTGGGCCTCCCCGGGGGCGCAGCGGTTGAGCGCTGGGCTGCAAAGCTGCCCGTGGCCTCTGCAGCACCGGTTCGATCCCCAGCCGCCGGCGAGGGTCCCACATGGCGCGCAGACCCCTCCTGCCGCCCGCTGCTCCCCTCAGCAGTGTCCTTCGGTCCTTCTGCCTGCTCGGCTTCCCGCTCTGGCTCTGGTGGATTCTCTCGCCCTCCCGCGCTTCTGACTGTACCCAGGGCTTGTGTAAATACATAAAAATAAATCTTTAAAAAAAAAAATCTTTAAAAATAAATGAATAAAATGTAGGTCATTTCCAAGCCAGTTCACCTGAGCTCTGAGGGTCAGCCCAGACCCACCCCCATGGGCCGGGCGCCCCACCCTACAGCTGGGGGGGGTCAGCAGCAAGACTCATCCATCCCACCTTCAGGCCCTGTTTCTCAGGCTTGTCTGCTGAGCCTGTTGTCGGGGAGACCAGCAGACCTACTGTGCAGGGGCTGGTGCTGGAGAGAATGTTCTGGAAAGCCCACAGCAGTGGGAGAGTGCAGAGGAGAGGCTCTTCTACCTGGGACTCTGCTGCTTCTCTGCCTGAGCTGCACCCGGCCTGGCCACACCGGCCTCTCTGGACCCTCTGCGGCCACTGTCCCGCCCCGACAGCCCGCCTGAGCGCTGATGTACGCCCGCCTGCCTCCTGGGCGTGCATCTCCAGAGTGCGCGGCCTTCTCTGGAGACGGGGACTCTGCAGACAGGGTCCACTAAGGGTTACGGTGCAGAGCGTGTCTCCGATGAGACCCATGTGCTGTGGGTTCCGAGTCTCTGACCCCTGCCAGGAGCTCAAAGACGGGGCCCCCACATTTGGCGGAGGCTCAAAGGTCCTCTGAATCCCCGAGGTTGGCACTGTGCTGAATTGACCCCAGGGCCCCGCGGTGGGACCGGCCACCCCCGGACAGAGGCAACATGGGCCAGAGGCGCTGCTGCAGGTTGCGAGCTTCTGAGAGCCCCACCCTGGCAGGTGGGCTGCAGAGTAGCCCGGGGCTGAGAGGCCGAGGGCACAGCCTGGGCCGGCGTCGGCTGGGACGCGCCTCCTAGAGACACATCCCTGAACCAGGCGGCCTCGCTGAGTGCCGTGTGTTCCAGGCTGCTGCAGGCCGCCGCTGTCGTTTCTCTGGCTGCTTCATTAGACATTTTCTTTCCGTTTCAAGGAGATGTCGCCAGGATGTCAGACCCCAAAGGTTTGAGGGCCTCCTGTGGGTGTGGCTGTCAAGCGGGCGAGTTCTCTGGGGCTCCTGATCCTGCACTGGGCAGCCGTGAGAAGCGGCTCCAGCCCTATGGACGGGCCTGCGCCCCGGGGCCGGCCGGAGCTGGGACTTGGTCTCCAGGGAGAGGCCGAGGCTGGGTCCTCACCCTGCCGAGCCTCCTGGTGCCCCAGGGCTGGCCTAGCGGTTGGTGAAGTGTTTGGGGTCTGTCGTCCCTGAAGTGGCACATGTGGGTGGCGGCTGAGGCAGAATGGAGACTGGCTAAACCGCCATTCTGTTGATCGTCCTTCCTCCACGCGCAGAGCATGCTTGGTCCTGCTCGCCCGAGCGTGCACCGAAGGGCAGAATCAGGTTCCAGCCTTTCGCTGGCCCCAGGGAGCGAGGCCGGCCGCTGGGCTCAGTCATCCAGAGGATGTGCCTCCCACAGCAGGTGCTTCCAGCTCGGGGCCGAGGGCGTGCACCGCCCGGACAGCCTCTGGGCGGCTGTGGGCGTGTCCTTCGGCGCAGCCAGCCGCGCTGGGCTTACCGGGTCTGCGCCGCCAACACCGAGCAGGCCGCACTTGGTGTGGTTTCGTCAGAGGTGTGCGGGGCCGTGTGGCTGCAACCCTGGTTCCGCCTGCTGGGCCGGCTTTCCCGCCGCCGCCCGCCCCCACCCTGTTGGGCCGCAGGGACGCCGCAGCAGCTCACTGGCTAGAAGCCAGCATGGCCATCGTGGACCCCTGGGCCCAGCCGCGGCAGCTCGTTGTTCTTGTGCGACTTGCCCTTGGGGCACAACGATGAGGCCACCGGCCAGCGCCCGGCCCGGGTAGCACCATCCCGGGCTCGGCGGCGGAGGAGACAGTGAGGGGAGGAAGGGGCCGCCCGGCCCTCGGGGACCATCTATGTCGGCTCCAGACGCGGGGGCTGAGCTGCTGAGCAGGACGCTGCTGCGTGGAAGGAGGCCGCCGGCCTTGAAATGCCTCAGAACCCAAAAAGGAGAGCCCGTGATGTGAGCGCCAGCCCCCTCCTGCCGTCAGGACCCAGCTGGGAGGTCTGGGTAAAACATGACTTAACGTTCAGGTCATAAAATGCAAGTGCAAGGGGCTGAAAGCGGAAAGTGTTAAACCTCCTGGAGGGAGCTTAACACTCAAGCTTGGTTGAAAACAAGATGGATAATCAGGAAATGTTAAAGGACCGGTAAAGTCTGGCATGAAGCGGCTCTGAGGAACCCTCGGCGGCGAGCAGGCGCTGGCTGAATTGGGTCAGGGCGTCACGTGGCCTCACCCCCAGAGAGCCTCTCAAGGGGAGACGGGACACTCACCTGCCAGAAGTCAGCCGTGGTGGCGGGCAGCGGGCCCTGGGTGGCGATGTAGGCGGGGCTGCGGGGGTCGTGGTCCATCTGCAAGGGAGGCGCGCGGGTCAGGAGGGAAGGCGCCAAACAGGGGACAGGAGGGGTGGAGAAGGGTGCCTGGCAGAGCGCTGTGTGGCCGGACATGCTGCTCCTCTTCTCGCTGTCCCCAGCCCTCAGCCACCAGCTACAGGCCCTCCGTCCTCAGCCCTCAGGCCTCAGCTCCTCAGTCCTCAGCTCCTCAGCCCTCAGCCCCTCCGTCCTCAGCCCCTCCCATGCCTAGGCCCTGAGACCCACTGTACCCCGCCCTGCGGACCAGCGCTTAGGCTGACACCCGGTGGCCATGCTGACTGGGGTGACCCGCTGTCCTGACTGCCCCGGTCCCACGGTCCTGACTCTGGCTCAGGGGCGGGGGTGAGCCCGGACTGTCCACAGCACCTGGGCGCCGGTCAGGCAGACACAAGCCTCGCAGCCTTCATGCACACGCCGGCCATGGACGCTCCGAGGAGGCCCAGTGGGTCTCCTGGCTGCCTGGTCTGGCCAGACTGGCCGGGGGCTCCAGAGGGCTCGCTGCCAAGACCCAGCGCAGCCGTCAGGGCCGCCGGGCAGAGGACCCAGGAGACAGGCCTGGGGAAGCCAGCAGGGGTGGACACGTCCCCAGGATGCTGCAGTGCCTGGCGCTCCCCGGCCACGCCCGCCTGCCCCACGGGGTGTCAGTGGAGACTCCCCAAGCTGTCACCCACACGCCCAAGGGCCCCACCAGGGAGTCCCCCTCCAGCTCCTTCTGTAGCCAAGACTGAGCCAAGAGGTGCTGGTGAGCAGAGTGCGCACCCTGATGAGACTATGGACATAGAGGCATGGGGTCTGGGGGATGCAGAGCTACAGCGATTGCCCCAGCAGAGGCTGGTGCGCAGAGGCTGCTGGGCTCACGTCTGTCAGACTGAGCCTACGGGGACATTGAGAGCCTGCATGTCCCCGAGTCGATGAGCCCTGGACGCAACGTTTCAGTCTGACACTAAAGTCCTCGGCGGGGCAGGCGGTCACTGCACCTCGGCTGCCTCAACCCCACAGCCAGGTGACGCGCTGACTCCTGAGCCGCTGGCTGCTCCGGGGCTGGGCTGCGCTTGGAGCTTGGCTGTCGCAGCGCTCACAGGGGCTGGGGCGTGGCACCCTGCTCGGGGCAGCCGAGTGGTCAGAGAGCACACGAGGGCTGGAGGTCGGCAGGTTGCGTCTCACTCAGCGGCCCCAGTGCTGCGCCTGCGTCCCGACCACATGCGCTGCACGAGCTTCCAGGCACCAGCACGGTGTCCCAGCAGGCCCCAACCTGCTGCCCCAAACCCCTGCTCTGGCTCACACCTGCCTGCCACGCTCTCGGGACCCTCTGGGCAGCCTGGGTCCCTTCCCACCTGGCCCTGCGTGGCCCTGCTCACAGGGAAGGCAGGTGTGGGCAGGAGGCCCCGCCAGGCTGGCCCGCTACACCACCTGCCCTCTGGGCATCATGGCCACTGGGGTTCCAGAGTGAACTGACCCCAACCTCCAGCCTGCCCGAGTCCCAGGCTCTCAGAACGTGGATGTCTGCGCCTGTCTCCTGTGGCTTCCCTGAATAAGTCGGGATCGTGGGGTCTGGAAAGAGGGAAGGTGAGCCAGCAGCTTTCCCAGCATCCCGGCCTGGAGGGACGGCTCCCAGCTGGCATCTGTGAGGCGTGGACAGGTCACCCGGTACCCCACAGCAGCAGCTCTGCCCAGGTCGGCGCCTGGGCTGCCTGGACAGGAACACCCTTGGGAGCACCGGGCAGGCCCGGCCGCGGGACCCCTGGGGGTCTGGCACCTGTGGCGGGGTGGAGGGACACTCACGATGGGGCTGGCGTTGATGTAGTCCGAGTGGCTGTGGCTGTTTTCAGATTTCAGCAGGATCCTGGAGTGATCATCTGCAAGCAACAGCAAGAGGGGAGTCACACGCCTGCACGACCCCCCAAGAACCCCAGGGCCATAGCATAGCCCCCAAACCCCTGGGGCTGGCGTGTGGGGAAGCTCAGGGGCAGGCCTGGGACCTGCTGGCCCTGCAGCATGCTGGGTCACTCCTGCTCCCCACCCCTGAACAGAAGGGGCCACATGGGCGGGGCGCGAGGGCAGCCAGTGGGGCCCGAGTGTGGATGTCCACAGGCAAAGTCTCTTGCTGGAGGACCCCTGCCCGCACCCCCAGGCCAGACCAGGGTGGGGACAGCAGGCCGGGAGCACCACAAGGCGGTGAGGTGTGGTCGGGGGGCAGCGCGCAGGGCCCGCTGGCCACAGAAGCGGCAGCCAGCCCATGGCGGCTGCGCTCGGACAGCAGGCCTGCGGGGTCCCGCCGCGGCAGGGTTCCAGAGCTCAGGCACATGGGGGCCGTGCTCAGCACCGGCCCCCGTGCAGGCTGGGTTCACGCCCTTTTCTAGCACAAGCAGCCCCGGGGGGCCGGGTGGGGGGCGGGCAGCGGGTCAGCTCAGGGAGCCCGGCCTGCTCTTGGCCTCGGCCTCAGCGGCGACTCTGGGGTGGCGGTGACGGCTGGCGGGGCCCTGGGCGGTGGGGCCAGGAGTGGGGTGTTGGCGTGGCCTTTCGACCTGTGAGGCGGCGTGTCCCAGCTCACACGACGTGCCCAAGGAACAGACCAGAGCCGACTCGGACGCCCCCGCCCCGACCCCCGTGCCGGGGCTGGGCTCCCCACTCTTGCTGCTTTCGCTGCTAAGGGCTCAGTGTCTCCGCTGTTCTGTCACGACACAGAACCACAAACGGGCCCTGGGGCGGCCCAGAGAGCAGCCCGTTCCCGTTCCTGAGGTGAAAGCGGGCGAGTGGAGCGTGGCGGAATCTGCAAGGGCGTGAGACGCGCAGACGGCGCGTCTCCTCCACAGCCGGGGGCGCCGGCCTGCGCTCTGTGCGCCCCACGAGGCAGACGGGCCCGCTCCCGGCGGGGAGGGGGGCGGGGTCCCCGCAGACATGGCGGCCGGCGCGGCTGTGCAGAGGCGCTGGGGGCAGCGCCGAGGCCGGGCGGGGGCAGCGAGGGCCCACGGCAGGCGGGGAGCCTGGCGGAAGAGGATGCCGTGAGGGAGCAAACAGAACAGCGGCTCCGGGGTCTGTCCCCGAGACAAGGCGCGTCCCCGGTCAGCACAGTGGACACCGGGTCAGTACCCTTGCCCACCCGCACCAGCCCGAGCACCTCAGGGAGCCAAGGCCACCCCCACCGGCTCACTGCCTGTCACAGACCCAGTCCCGGCCAGCGGCAGGAGACCCCCAGGCCACGCCACGGGGCCGGAGCTGGTCTCTCTCGGAGTCCGGCAGGGCCCCCGGGGCAGGACGGTCGGGGAACTCCTGCAGGGCCAGGGCCGCCACAGCTGGACGTGGACACCAGACTCCTTCACCTGCCTGGTCCCGCCGACCTTTCAGCCCACAGTGGAGCTGCGCCCGCACGGCCTCGGCACCGCTTGGTGGGCACACGGGCCACAGGTGCCGCTCCCGGACCAGCCGGGCGGAACGTGCTCCCCTGGGCCTCCGACTCGGGCTCCGCCCTGCAGCCTCGGGCTGGGCAGCCACACTGGGCTGGGGATGGCCTGCCCGAAGGGACGCCAGAGCCCCGGCTCAGCTCCCCGAAGGCATCATCGCAGTGTCCGCGCTGGTCGTGATGGGCGCTCCAAGGAGGGGCTGTACTTCAGCTTATTCATACCCGGGCCTGGTGGCCGCAGCAGCCGGGCCAGGATGCAGACGGCAGCACAGACGGCTACCCTCACGGCTGCCCAGGTGCCCCGTCACCCGAGGGCAGCGGCTGGCAGTGCCCGTTCACTGGGCCCCACAGGGGGCGTAGCTCCGGCACCCAGGGGCTGCTGGTCAGTCAGCAGGATGCATCATGATTTTTGCTTTTCTTCTCCTTGTGAAACTTTGCATTTCAGATCTCCAGGCCTTGAGCGCGACGCCCACCCTGGGCTGGACCTCCCGGGTGAGAGCTGAGGCCAGCCGGCCGGCAGACCACGTGCCCAGCATGCTGCTGGCCGTGTCCAGATCCCACGGAGCACTGGAATCGGGAGCAGCTGGAGCCAGAGAGGCCGCATCGCATCCTGGGTGTCGACGCGGGCGGGGCGTTAGGCCTGGCAGGCCCCGTCTGTGAGGCCTGGGCTGGATGCTTGCACGGGCCACTCTGGGCGCTGGGCCTGCCTCTGTCCTGGGCCTTGGGCCGCTGAAGGGCGGGGTCGGGAGGTGATGGGCAGGTTGCAGGCCACGAGGGCGACCGCCCCAGCTGTGTGTCTGCCTCCCCGAGTGCAGTCACCGCATCTGCTTCAGGCCTCAGCCGCTTGGGGAGGACGTGGGGCCCAGCGGCCGGGGACGCCCAGGCTCTCAGCGCTGGCCACAGGGGGCGGGTGGCCAGCAGGGGTGCAGGCTGGGGGCCTCCCCGTGGTCTTGCCCTGGCCTTCAGAGGCGAGGGGACCATTTGTGGGTTCGGGGGCACCGGGGGAGGACGAGGAGGGGTGTCTGGCTGGTGAGAATGGCAGCGGAAAGCGGCAGCAGGCAGGACCGCCCGCCCCCCAAGCACAGGCTGGGTACGTACAGGTCAGCACCGCGGGGCAGCGGTTCTTGGCCGCGTTCTCCTCCCGCTGCGCCACGAGGGAGCTGTTGGGCTCCGCCTGGTAGGCGCACAGCGCCTCCCACTCCTTCTCCAGCCGGTTCTTGTTCTTCAGGTGGTCCTCCATGTAGGCCTGCAAGGGAAGCGGAGTCAGGCGCTGCTCTGCTGGCTCACGCCCGCATGGGCCTGACACACGCAGGGCCACAGAGGAGGCCGCGGTCACCCCAGGGGGCAGGCAGGACCCCTCCCCGCTGGCAGCGGGACAGGGCGTGGTGTGCTTGCCGTGGACGCAGGCAGGAAACACCCACGCCGGGGCCGCCTCTCCAGCTGGCCTCAGCCAGCGGGAACCCACCATGCCCTGAAACGTGGGGGTGCGGCGCGCAGGGCCCCAGGGAAGGGCCGGCCCCCACAGAGGGGTTGCGCCTACAAGGCCCCACAGCCAGTGCTGGCCGGATGTGGGGTGAGGAGACCCACAGTCGGGAGCGGGCCCTGGGGCGGCCCAGGGGACAGTGAGCTCGATTGACATTACAACATGGAGAGGAAACACCGCGAGGCCCAGCCGCCCCTCCTGGACTCTGCCAGAAGGGCACAGTGTTGCCACCTTGAGGAACCGCAGCCCCGTGGTGGGACCACAGCAGGAGCGGTCCTGGCAAGGAGAGGGCTGGGAGGCCAGGGCTGCCCGCAGAGGGGTCTCTCAGTCCTTGGGGGCCGCAGGCTGCTGCCTGCAGCAAGGTGGGGGCGCCAGGGGCTGACAGGGGAGGCAGCCAGGGAGGTGTAGAGACGGGACGTCCCGTGCAGCAGCGGGTCGGGGGAGGCGATTATGGACCTGCCCGCGGGCAGCAGGGCCGGGCTGCGGCCTCTGAGGCTGGAGTGAGGGCATGGGCGAGCTAGCCACGGGGTGCAGGACCGTGGGGACAACGGGGGGCAGGCGGGGGGTGGTTAGAGGTCCCGGGCCAAGCACCAGATGACAGGTGGACACAGAAGCCGCCGACCACCGGGAATAGGTGGCCGACGGAGGAAAGCGAGCGCTCCCGGGGGTGTGCAGGGGGTGCTGAGCGGCTCTGAGCTCCGAGCCAAACAAATCTATTAATAAACCCCAATCTGGGAAAGCAGATCCGTAAATAATGTTTTGCACTGAAAGTCATTAATTTTCTTTTTTCTGTCTAAGAGAAACACTAGTTACTAACAGATACTGTGGTGCAGTAATTGCTTGAAATTATTTCACTGAAAACTATAAAACGCTGTTTGAAAACCACGCTGTGCATCCAGTCAAAACCAAGCCAGAGCGGAGAGTTGAGGCCCGAAGGCAGCAGGCACCATCAGCCGCGAGGGGACGTGGCTGCACGCGGGGAAGCAGCTCATGGGGATGCGGGCGCACAGGCCTGGGCACAGGCCGCCCTGCAGGGCTGACCCCCGGCCCACAGTCCACCCTCGGGCTTCCCAAGTGAGAAAGAGCAAAAACCGCCGAGTGAGCCCACCCTTGGCCTGCAGGCCTGTCCTGCCAGCAGCGAGCATAGGCCAGGCTGCTGGGGAACAGCGCGGACGCCCCCGGCCAGCCAGCCGCCCGCCCCGCGCCCTCGGTCGGGAAGGGGCGGGTGTGGTCTCGTCCGTGAGGGCCGGGAGGGCCTCCACGGGGGTCACGCTGGGCCCAGCGCTCAGGCATCCAAGGACTCGCACACAGGCCCAGTGTCGGGGCCTGCACCCGGCCCTGGCTGCCCCGTCCACTGCCACCGCCGCCCACCCCTCCACGCACCTGGCACCTGCCCCCTCTGGCGCCGCCCAGGGCAGGTGGGGAAGGGTGGCGCACAGTGGCGGGCGGAGGCGCTTGGCGGGTGGGCCCCATGGCTCTCGGGCGGGGGCGTGAATCAGGTGGTGAATCAGGCCTGGCCACAGCCCACCCACGGGGGTGGGGGTGGGGGGCTGTCGTCCCAAGGCCCCAGGCCCCACAGCCCCGGGGTCCTCACAGGGCGGGGCGGGGACTAGTCTAGAAAGTGCTTCCCTCGCAGAGACGGTTGTGGCATTTCAAACACGTGTCTGTACCGGAGTCGCCCCAGTGAGGCAGCGGCAGTGTCTGCGTGATGGCACGGCGGGCGCGGGGGCAGGGGCCGGGGCCCGGGGCTGGGAGAGCTGGAGGTCTGTGGGCCTGGCTGGCCCGGGGCCCCTGCAGCAGCCTCTGGACGGCAAGCAGACAGGAGGGCCCCTGGCAGAGCGGCCTCGGGGCCTGGCCGGCTCTCTTCACAGCATCCACCAGGCCCGGGCCAGCCCAGCATGGTCTGCACCAGGGGCCCTCGCGGCTGCACGTCCGCCCGGGCCCTCAGGCGAGACCCCTGCAAGTCCCTGTGGCCTCTGGCTCCTCGGCAGGAGCCCCAGACTCCGGTGCCCCTTGACCCCCTCTGCTGACCGCGCCGTCTCCAGGCCCCGTCCAGGCTGAGCAAGCTCAGCGCGCGGGCCCCCAGTGGCGTCCGGCTGACCCGCCGTGTCCGGTGGTGTGTGGACGAGACGCTGCGGTGCGCCCGGCAGCCTGTCCCTGCTGTTGGGGTGTCGCCGGGCTCCTGGGGACAGCAGGAGCCGCGGGGGCCTGGGCCAGGCTAATGGCCACTGCTCTGCTCGCTCCCGCCCTGGAGGGCAGCGCTGCGGGCGCTCAAGAAGCGATGCTAAAAATACTCGTGCTTTATATTTATGCCCGCGTGGAGAGGGGCGGAGGGGGTGGACTTGGTGTTTAAAAAACGGCAATTTTTTATTACATAAATTGCGCACGCAGGAGAGAACAGAAAGTGAAGAGGCGGCCCACGCAGGCAGGAAGCCCTGGAAGCGCACCCGGAGCTGCCTGTGGCCCGTCCCTCCCGTCACCTGGCGCCTGACCGCTGTCACCTGGCCCCTGGCCCGCCCGCTGGCTGCCGCTGTGTCTCAGGCCCCCGTGGCGCAGGCTTTGCCCTCAGTCACTGGCGTGGGGGGACTTTCTCGCAGGAGTGGGAAGATGCTGGCGAGGGGCTTGCACTGCGCAAGGGAGCCACGGCCGGGCAGGTGCCCGCCGGGGCCCCCAGCCAGGGGCAGCGCTGAGGCACGAGGCTGGACCGGCCGCCCCACTGCCCCACACCTGCCCTGCAGGGCGCCCCAATTCCTGCTCCAGCCTGGATCAGCGTGTCCGGCTCGGAGACCACGGGTGCCGCGGCCGCCCTGTCCTCTGCGTGCCTCAGCTAACCCCTCCTTGCCCTCCACGTCTGCCCCCGGCAACCGGTCACCCGGCCCTCGAGTGCTGCTCCTGCCGCTGCAGACCCCAGGGGGTCGCCCCCCTCCTCGCCTGCCCCGCAGCACCTGCTGCTGTCAGGCCCGGCTCCGGCCCGCGCTGCTCCAGGACGCTGGGGCGGCCACTCTCCAGCCAGTGGCACGGGCAGCCGGGGCAGCGGAGTCCCACAGGCTCTGGGGCCGGCCCTGGGGCTCCCCGTCCCTCCTCGCCATCCCCCCCTCTGGGTATCCCTCGGTGGCTTCTAATTCTCCCCAAAGCTGGCGCCAGCTGCCGCCCCCCACACCCGGGCTCTGGGGCCCCGGCTGGAGGCACAGCTTGGCTGTCCGTCCCCGCGCTCCCGCCACCCCCGCCGGCGCCAGAGGAGCTGGCACGTCCTGAGGGCCTCACGCCAGGGCGTGCGCACAGCCCCCGTGGGTTGCCCACGGCCTTGGGACGTGCGGCCACCGACATGGGGACAGCGCCGTCCACAGCAGCATGCGGCCCTGCGGGCCTCCGGCCACGGCGGGAGATGCCACGGAACCCACCTGACACGACAGAATAAACCGCTGGCTGCAGAGGGGCGCCGGGGGCGGGGGGCGTGAGGAGCTGGGCGCCAGGAGGCCGCGCCTGCGGTTTGGGTCCCACGGCCCGAGCGCTTTGAAACCGCCGCCTGGGCCAGCAGTTCTCGGGGCGCAAGCGCTGCGGTTCCCCGAACAAGGGTTTACGTTCCAAGGGGAAGCGAGGAGCCGGGAAGGGAGGCGGCCAGGGCTGCCGGGCGGGGGTGCGGGGGCGGCCTGCAGACGCGCAGAGGGCAGGTGCAGGGAGGCCCGGGCCGCGCCGCCTGCCCAGGGAAGGCGCTGGACGCAGAGCCGCGAGCCTGTCTCGAGCCCGTCGAGAGTGGGGCCCCGCTGACCGGAACCAGGCAAGGCGCTGGCCGCCGGGAGTGTCCCCCCGGGACTGGGGGGGACAAGGCCACAGACGTGCTGCGAGGAGGGGCCTGGGCCCAGGAGGGCCGAGGGTGTGTCCTGTGACGCTGACCTAGGGCGGCCAGCATCGGCCTGGTGCCCCCCGTTAGTGTCCAGAGCCCGGGACCCCGCTTCTGAGGGGTCGGGCAGGGCCAGGGCAAGCCCACCCTGGGCCCTGCCCCCTCTCATTGCATCATCAAAATTGCTTCCATGGACGTGGGTGCTGGAGGAGGAAACAGTCCCGCGGGCGCCCGGGTGAGTGACCAGATTTCCCGGCCGCTGGCGGCCACTCCATGGGGCCCAGCGCCCCGCACGTGAGGCCCCACCGTGTCTCCCAGGCTCTTCCCTGGACACTTCACTTCCTGCAGAGCCTGCTGGAGACCAAGGAGAGCGCGGCGAGCCTGCGGGCCCCCGGGCCGGGCCGGGGACGGCCTTGGAAGGCCTGTGTGGGGTGGGAGTGGGAGTTTCTAAATTGTTTAAAAACGTAAGGCCGCGAAGAGAAGGCCCTCGGCCCGCAGGCAGGGGAGAGGACGGGGGAGCGAGCGGATGCCGCGGGAGGCCGTGGGGGACGGGCCTGGTCACCTGCTTGTCCAGTCTTCCTGCCACGGGAAGACGAGATGTACGCGGGGGGAGGAGGGCAAGCGGAAACTCCAGAGACAAAGACTCAGCTGGAAGCTGAAGTCGGGCAGGGCACCTCCCAGGGGCCCAGGGGGCAAGAAGAAGCCTCTTTAGAAAGCAGCGGTTTAAGAGGACGTGCAAACCCCAGTTGTGTGGAATTTAACGAACGGAAGCTTCATGGACACCCCTGTATTATAAAGTTCCTATTCTAAATCCAGAGGCGTCTTGGAGCCAAGCGGAGCAGCGACGTGGGGGCTGGCCTGGGGGCCGGGAGACGCCCCTGCACCCCAGCAAACGCATCACACGCGGCCTCCCCCGCTGGCT